CAGCAGGTGGCACAATAGCATACTCAGACAGTTTCCTGCACAGCATTAAACCAGCTGGAGTAGGGCACAGTTGCCAGGCCATGCCGAGCAAAACAATGGAAGATATAGGCCTTGGAACACAAAACTTAAAATCGTTTGACTAACACACATTAAGAGCATTATTGAAAAAGTGCTAAGCAAAGCATATTACATGTTTTGGACTCTGCTCACACACAACCATATGAGTACTTTAAATTAATTTATGTAACATATCTTTATAGTTCTTTTACTGAGGCTGGAAAAGACATATCTGTAATAAGAACTGTGAATTATATGTATTCAAACAAAAAGTTATTGCTTCATTGTGTAATTTTTATAAATCCTATTTGAATGTACACATAACGAGAACCCTTAAAAATATGAGTATTATATCAACAAATTTACAGTTGAGAAACACAAAATGTTGGTGCAGCTTTCAAAACAAAAATGTGATCTTTAAAACTATAATTGCTGACATTAACAATAACTAATTATTTCTTCAACATGGTTTGCATGAAAGATGTAAGGACCATTACATGTTGAAGGCAAAATATGTTTTTCTAAATTGTAGAAATGCTTAGAAGTGGGTGTTCATGTCAAGATGTGATCTTGCATGACAGCATGAAAGTCTACGAGACAGACATTGAGCTAAAACATAAGTAAACACTAAGTGAGCATACTATTATAAAAAGACTCATTTGTATTAAAGTGGCAAGGATAAAAATATACATGAGCTTGTTAAATAAAACTTTTGTTTACTGGAGAAACAATGGTGCTTTTAAATTTGATATTCATTATGTGCATTATCATAAAACACGATTCAGAATTTGACCTGAATCTGTTTCAAATAATGAGACAAAGTACGTGGCAATTATAGTTAATTTATTGTTTCAATGTGGTTAGTTATCAAGTCAATATTGTTTGGTTATGTCTGATAATTTGTTATTTTCAGTTCATATTGTCATTAGAAATGCTCATCCAGGATAAATGGATGCAAAGAGATTATGTATAGATTAATAAAATTAGCTAAAATTTATATGAAAACATGAGACAGAGACTTACATCATATTCTTAAGTTAATAAAGCTTTTCCATTCTAATTCACAAGTACCATTCTGAATATACTTATAAATACTTTAGTTTAAACCATGCTTTGCATCTCACAAGCAATTTGAAACCAACTTATACTAAGTTCCATGAGAGATCACAGTTCACTAACATTCTTGACCTCATGGTTTCGAAAGATGTATATTACATCGTTCACAAGTGAAAAAACTTCTATGCCTAAACCTGCAGCAGGACTCCATTCCTGCAGAGGTAATGATTTCACTGTATTGTACAATCACATTTTGCATAACTGAAATTGAAATGTCTAAGTATATTTAAACACATGACATATGTTGCACACTTTTTAATTAAATGTGTGTTGATATGGGTGTTACGCACTTGCTCTACTGTAGCATGTTAAATGTAAAATTATATTTCAGAGAATAATGTCTCACATCTCCAATGTTGCAATTCTAATCTATGATAATCATTCTAAGAAAGTTATTGGAATAAATAGTATAATATTCATTAGAGATGTAAGATTTGTTTACAAATATTTCACCAGCAGAAACTAATATGTATAACTTTGCTATGTTTCTCTGAAATGTTGGTATCTGCCTATACATCTGTACGGCGTTACAACCCAGAAGACCAGAAATCCAGCTCTCACATCTTGACTGCCGTAAGAACCGCAAATATCACAACTACCTTTATTTACTTTCCAGTGAACAGTTGGAGGCAAAAGCTACATTATCTGCCTGCATACACTTTTAATGCTTTGGATTATTATTTTATGAATAGTAAAGGAAGAATACGATACACAGATTGACTTATCGTACCAGTGATGAATGTGGAATAATTTGCTGTGTAATAAATTCAAATAAATGAATAAATTAATTAATGAATTTGAAAATAAAGTAAAACATGCAAATAATTTATATTATACATTGCACCAAGAGTGACACATAAATCAAAAGTGGGATGGTGAGACATGTTATTGTAATCTTCAGTCATATAAGAATAAATGTAAATTCTTGGGGATTGAGGTCTTTTACGTTATATCATTGTGTAGCCCTGTGGGTATAGCCACATTTTGGAGAAACCTGATACAGCCATCTTCAGTCTAGAAATGGATTGTTTCTTCCAGAACGTTAGTTACTGTCACAGCGTCATAACCCACAAGAACACAATCCATATGTTCACTGCTGTAAAAACCTCAAACCTCAAATCTCATAAATGTAAATGCATTAGCTGAAAGATTCTATGAATGTTTTATCATATCAATACAATTTCGACAAAACGATTTACTGTTGATATCTCCAGTTTATTGCTACAACTAGCAGTTTTAAAACATAATGAAAACTTATAAAATTGTTTACATGTGAAAATTTATTAGCATGTCAATAGAATTTTCTTTTAATATAATCCTTTTCCCACACATTTAAGGGTTCATTAAACATTTTCAATGGATTTACGTCAAGTTTTGAAATATCTTTTCAGACTGTAAATATAAATGTGTAAGTCTGAACTTTATTTTGCTTTCTACTTCTGTCAAAAAGGAAAGTAAAATTTCTTCCATATAAAGATGGCTGTCTTCTGGGATGTTTCACCTAGTCTGATAAATACTGACTTATGTTTTCGTGGAATTTACAGCCTCTGTCATCAGGGTAATGATTCATCACCCTCTTAACGAAAGCAACATGCTCAGATGGCTGTCTTCTGGGATGTTTCACCTAGTCTGATAAATACTGACTTATGTTTTCGTGGAATTTACAGCCTCTGTCATCAGGGTAATGATTCATCACCCTCTTAACGAAAGCAACATGCTCCTCTTTAAGACTAGACAGTCCAACATCTGAGAAGGCAGCCATTTTCATGCTCTCTCCTATGAGAATCTCAAACCTCACCTTTTTCCCTATGGTCAAGAACACATGAGTTTCAACTCCATCAGCAAGCGCGTAACAAAGAATCAGATTTGTTACCCAGCAGCCCTGAGGACGAGAGCAGAGATTGTTCTCGAAACGTTGGCAGAAGATACGGTTTATTCACCATTCAGCCATCTGACGTGGCTTGTAACCTGTGAGTCTTTCATCTACTTCAGTCGCCACGAAAGCTTCACCTTATACATTCATGAAGTTAATTATGAATGGAAAACAAATATGCAACATAAACAAAAAACATTCAGTAATGAGGCGGAAGTATACATGTAGAGTTCTGTATATATACTACAGTTTACACAGTGTTAAAAATCTATACATAGCAGTTTATTGCAGATATATATATATATATATCTTCATAAAATCTATTTAATTCTCTAATGTATGTTGATAATTTTGTAGCATATACCTGCTAATTGTTCATATTTAGCATATTCTATTTGTTTCCTTTATTTTAATGTTTAAATATTCATAATTTTCACTTCAAAACATTCAAATTTCCTTCAAGTTTGTCTTTCACTTGTGAAAGTTGTTTCTGATACTGATCTAGATTATGAAAATGTTTCCCTTAACCCTGAAATTGGAAATAGGTTAATTCAGGCTTCTTATATGTCCAAGCATCTGTCGAAAGCTTAATAATTTTGCCCTATAGCTATTATACGTATATACACTGTTCATGTCCTCCACTATCACTGGATCCTACCAATAGGTTCTTAATTTTATATAAGGATATTATTCAACCAAAACAGAATGAAGTTCAATGTCCAACAGCACTGGCTGAAACCAGGCTTTACGTCTTTTCACAAATAAGTAGTTTACTACAGATGTTTTTTTAAGAAAAGTATCTTAGTAAAGTACTTTGTGAAGAAAAGTGTGTAGATATTGTAAAATGAAATGTAATTGTATGTTAAAAATAAGGTGCTACTAAAAATAGTAAATCATTTTCATGTAAAGTACAAAGTTGCTTCTTTGCTCACTGCTCTTATACTGGTGTGGGTTTGACGTGACTTCCCGCAGGGCTGCAGGATTTCTCCTCCTGTCACTGGATCGTGCAGAATGGCAACTTCTGTTCCCGGTTCTCTTCTTGGATCGAATCTTCTTTTGGGGAAGTCTCACCTGCAGCCCCATTGCCCCCCATTGGTCCACCTCCAGGGGGGCACATTGATTGTCATCTAAGTGCCAGGGTTGATACCATAGGTGGACGAATGGGTTTGTTGTCCAGGATCCTTTCCAATTCGTTCATCGTGTTGGTATTCAGCTTGGGAACGAGCTGCAACACAGTGGGCGCAGTGATCATTCGGTGTCTACATTTTGTTTCCAAACACCTCAGCTGCTATGAGATTTGTAACAGACCTAACATTAACATGTTTGATAAAACTTTAAACACATCTTTTATTTAAATATACCAATAAATAATCACCACTTTTGGTACTTTAAGCATTTTTAAGTACTTTGTAACAGAATGTATAAATATGTTTATGTGGGCATTGCCTTGCTTTTGAAGGACTTATCAAGAATACTGAAATACAGGATGATAAAAAGTCACACATACCTGACACATTCTGTGTATTTAAAACATATAGAATATCATTATTTAAAACTTCATCTGCTTACATTGCAATTTCAACTTTTGTAGACGTGCGGCAAATTAGCTATAACAAAATGATGGACACAAACTAGTGAGCTGGGAGCCATGCCACAGTAATTTATTATTAAAATATTTCATAAAAAATAAAGCGTATTGTCCTGTAGACTTTATGTAAATGGAGATCCAGTCACATTCAATTTAACTCACATGCAGAATGTCACTTGGGGATTACAGGATGAGCAAAGAAAACCGACCTGCAGGCTTTGTATGCTCTCGTAGAGCTGCTCAACGGATGTGGCGCCCAAGAGTAGGCACTGAACGCTCTCATTCTTGAGGCACCACGCAATGGCAAGTTGAGACACTGTGCAGCCAAGCTTGTCTGCCATTTGCGAGATCTCACGGAGCTTCTCGTGTTGCCGCTTCGTCTCCTCGGGCTGCAGCCTTTCCTTTAGCCACGCGTAGCCCTGGAAGGGTCACGTTTGTTTAGCTGATTTCAACACAAAGTCACATATTTTTATTCACACTTGTTAATCTGGTCCTTACATCATTTTGCAGCATTTCCAGATGGAATTCAAAGCTAACCAAAAAGTAGCTATCTCATGTTCTCCTATGATCCCAGAATTATAGGATATCTTCTTGTACCTAATGAAATAAAAATTAATACACTGTGTCTTCTGTTTTTGAAATAAAATGTAAACTCGTAGAACATAATTCCTTGCCACTCACCTCTTTATTGGAGGATTGTGTTTCATCCTCAGTCCAGCTGTATGAAGAGTATTTGTTCTGAAAAAAATGGAAAGAAGCTTACTGTCGATTGAGCTGAACAGATTGAGAACACTAATTATGTTGTTACTACATCCTACCTGTAAGACACCCTTGGGTATGTCAGGTTGGAGAAGGAACCCCTTTTTCTGTGCCTATGTAGTGGTCTGAACAAGCCCAGGCTTTGATATGACCGAAGGGTGAGCCTGGGCTAGCAAGTACATATAATATTTTGAGTCCGGGCCAGGATTGGGCCTGGTTCAAATCATAGCAATCAAATACTATTTTGAAAATGTCGGGTTTTCCCCGGTCATTCTTTTTTCGCAAAGAAATAGGTATTTGTGGCAGATCTCATCTTATGCATGTGACACAGTCAGGCACAAGAAACAAATCCCACAGACTTGTACAGCCTTGATTTCGTAGCTGCCCCTCGCAGAAATAATTCGAGTTAATTTCACCTTACAAACTTGGCATCCGGTAAATTTCTACTGTTCCTCAGACACCAAAATAACCTCAGGTGGTTCTAGAGTGTAGTTAAACAATTCATTCCAGGATTAACGGCATTTATGCATTAAAAGACAAATGTATTAACAATACGACAGGGCTGACTGTAAGCAGATCGGATTTCGTTTGGGTTAAAATAAAGCGAAGAGTCGGGGTTAGGTCGGGTACGGGTAACATGTCTGAGGATAAACTTTGGGTTTAGGTCAAACGCTCCTCGGGTCGGGTAATAACAAAACTAAGAACCACCTCCTGTGACCAAAATGGCAAAAAAAGGTGCAAAAGTCCTTACTGTGAATCACGATGTCCTAGAGCCGCTATTACCTCACAAGTTCGCACGCCCGTCATGTTGTTACTATCGATAACACTAAATGTTGCATAAACGATCTAGCGACAATCGATCAGTTGGTTCAAAAGTTAAATGGACGGAAACAGCACAGTGATTTCCCAAGGGCAGCAGTGTGAGGAGATAAATAGAAATATGATTGTTTACGAAGAGGGAAAAAACTGAAGGCAAAGCGAAGCACAAACGAATGAGAAGATAAATAATAATGCAGAAGGGCAGAAAAAGAAAAGAAAACCTGGTGATTAAACGATAAAGATAAAAGAAACAAATTATAACTATAAGAAAGACACGGAAGGGACATAAATTGTAACCAATGGCAAAAATACAGAAAGACGTTTTGAAAAAATAATGATCACAAACGTCAGCAGAAGAAAAATTTGTGGTGGCAAAACTGCTAATCAGGAAACTGCGCCAAGTTTAACGTACCTTGATAGACGACCGAGAGATTAAAGGAAGGCCTCCATCATCTAACTTCCCCGAGACGAGGCCCATGGTTAGTGGGGACCACGCCATCAGACCCACACCTGCGCAAAATAAATTAAAATCATTAAAAACTGATGTAAAATCATGCCAGAGGAATTACACCAATGAATCAATTCATGGGCTTCCATGATTAATCTTTAATTCAGTGATACACTTTTTTATTTGAATTACGTTAGATTGACTGATATAAAATGTGACCGAACTAGGAAGTTAAGTCGATAGTCGCCCAGCTGGCCAACAGATTTTCTCCTACTTTGGAAACAGAAGTATGATTACCATGTCTAAAATTACCTGCTACTGGTCTCAGAGAAAGCCAGATTAATCTGGCAGACACCCTTACACCCTAATTATACTAATGTCAGATCTGGGTCCGTAGTAAAGAAGTCGCCTTGTCAATAAGTAATCTGCGTAATTCGTCCCTGGACAGCTCTAATAATTCACACTTGCTGTTGCCAGACAGACAGTGAATTTTCTTGCCTAAAGAATGTGTAGTTTCCACCTGTCACCAACAATCACCCCCAAGATGAGACCTTTCCCTGAATGTCCTTTTGACTGTGGTCTGGTCTCTCTGTACAGACGTTAGCTTGTTAGAAGAATGAACTTGACAGCGATTTTCAATAAGAGTTCCTTGTGCAAAATTTATCTTTCGTTCGTACACCTAACACTTCCGGGAAAAAAACCCAGCTGGAAAAGATAGTATCAGGATTTTCCAAATAGAGGCCTGAGGCAGCAAGGACCTCCGAAAAGTTGGTAAACATCTACCAGACTTTTGGTTGGATGATACATGGCGTAAAAACGTTAAAATCGACTGACTCTAGTATACCTTTTGGCTGGATGATACATGGCGTAAATACGTTAAAATCGACTGACTCTAGTATAGGCAGCACACGCGGCAAGGTGGGGGTTGACTTGCCGGTGAGCGCGCAGCCGATTCGCGGTCAAACACGGAGAAATTCCCTCTGTATTTGTTTGTTTTTGTGTGTGTATTTCCAGTGAAACCTTCTTTCTAGTTTCTAAACAACGTTCTCGTTCTTTTATCGCATTTAACGTGTTACTTAAAATCCCTCCTGAGGTTCTAAATCCTTTTTAATATTATCTTGTGAAGTGAAGTTGACATGGGATACATTTTACCGACTCACCGATCTTGTTGTAAAGTTCTGGCATGTACAACTCTGTCTTCTCTCGGCAGAACATGTGGTACTCTGACTGCTCTGAGATGGGAGTCACACAGTTGAATTGTCTACAGTTGGTATAAGCCTCCATTATCTCGACAGGCGTCCACCGCGCTGTGCCCCAGTACATGGCCCAGCCGTGGCTGATCACGTGGTTCATAGCCCTCACCACCTCTGCGATAAGGCACAGATACGCCACTGACACCATTGGTAATTTTCTAGTGAGGTGGCTTACGAGTCTGTCTGACTTGATGGGAGGGAAGTCTGAATCTTCAGGTTAATTCTACCCTCGAAGATATAAAGATAAAAGAATATTTATATCATTTACCCTTTTAATATTGGAGTCCGAATTATATTATTCATGTTCGGTAGCCATGTTCTAGCCTACCACTAGAACACAGCTGAAAGAAAAATTATTATATTCAGCAGAATATTAAGTTTTATTGCCTACGACGTATCTGGGAGTAAGAAGCTTAATTTTAAAGTGAAATACTGTTTAAACTGAGTAGAGATTCATAATTTTCTTCAATACTTAAGAAGAATACAAAAACAGGGCACAACAACTTCTTTCTAAATCACCGTCCGCTGCTTACGGTTTATTAATAAATTATTTATATATAAACAAAATGAACTCAAGTGAATTAATACTCACTCAAGCCGATCGAAATATGTCTAAATAATGAATTAGGTGCTTACGTTGATGTAAGACCACTAATTTAAAAGCCGGCTTTGCAGTAATATAGAGGAGAAGTTGAAGTTTTTCGATAGGTCTTAAGAAAGCTGCGAAATTACGTTATAAATTTAATCCTGTAAACCTAACCTACGCTTCAGAGTCACTTTAGCTGGCCGTGTGTAGATATTTAATTTTGGTCACGACTTTCAAAACTAGTTACAGTCAATAAAGTTTGCTAATGAGCTATATCTACCTACCTACATCCCACAAACTTCTGATTTAATTTACGTATTTTAAAGACTATATAATTCGATATAAACATATCTGGCATTATTTACTACACTGTTCTTTTAATGGAATAATAAGAAACTTAGCTTTATCTCTTTTAAACATCGAAAACCGATGCTCGTCTAAATAATAATTAAGATCTCATTCCGTACCGAAAAGAAAACACAACTCTTCCCCAAATCAGATTAATGTTGTTTAAGGAAATTATCGCTGTTCACACTGAGAATTATATTAAAAACCGCAAGGTACAAAATTCAGCGTAACTGACTGTTATTTACGCTAAAACATTTTTATATTGCAGCTCTTGCTAATACAAGACACTAGTGGAACACAGCCTATATAAAACCATACGATAATTACACGTTTTATTAGATTTGATTAACCACCATATTAGCAGATAAATCAACAAATACATGTGTTAACACCAAACACTGCCGTAACAAATGAAACTGATTAAGATATGGAGTTACAGCAGAACTTTAGTAAGAAATTCCCAATTCTACTATATGAGCAACGTGATGATCTTACCTTCCATTGGACACATGGGGTCTGCCTTGTAAACAATTACTACATCGATGTAGCCAAGTTGAAGCCGGGCCAATGACGCTCGTACTGACTCGATGACGTGTTTCCGGGAGAGACCTCGTTCGTCAGATCTGCACGGAACAGGATAACTCTAACTCCATCTTTGGTCATGAAAACTGTGACCTTCTATCACAAACATTGTATAGAATGACCGTAAATATGTTTTGCCATGTCATATAGAAGTACACGCACGTAGCAGACCATGGATTAGTCTTTTGCTTTTAAGCATTGTTTATAGCAGTCAGCAAAATAAAATCACGCAAAACTAATATCGTTTAATAAAAAATCACATCATTATTCATCTTTGCTTAATCAAAGAATATAATATGATTTCATGTAACACAATCTAAAACACATTACCATTTTGAGGTTATAGTAACTGTACATCATAGGCCTCCTTCAACAGTATATAGTCGGCGCGGTAGTTTTCGGCCGGTGGGAATTTTCAAGGGAAAGGCTAGGAGCGAGTCTCTTTTGCGATAGTGTAATGCTGACTGCACCGAGGAGCTTATCGGACTGAACGCCCAAACAAAAGAAATACACTGACCGTGCTACCTCAGGTACACAGACTAGGCCCGTCCGCCAGCTCCGCTAGCTTCTCCACCGGCTAGAAACTACTGCGCCGACTACACCACGATAATGGTTATAATGTTATCTCATTAAGCATAAAATCCCTTAACATTAAATAATCACCATACCAAGATAACGTTTATAACACACACATTCATTAATATTATCAAACAAGCCCCAAAATTCCTTAACAGCAGCAAATAATGATGTATAGATTACAAAAGTACGTGATAAAACCCAGGAAACCAAAGCCTTAACCTCAAATATCATGTCACATTTTGGGTCTTGACTCACTTCGTGTTCCAGTAGATCTTGGTCGAGACAATGTAAGAACTCCGTTTCCAGCCGCGTCGTTGTAGAATGCGCCCTAACTCCATCTCCGCACGAACGCCGCTGTAAGCTTCAGAAAGGTCGAACACGTTGATTCCACTGTCGTACGCCAGCTGAATCACTTCTTCTGCTTGTTCCTCCTTCACTCCACTCCCGAAAGTCACCCACGTCCCTGCAACGACATTGTCGCCTTGCACCAAACTACAACTACCAACAGCATTGTCCTACATCAAACTACTAAAATTCATGGTATCAGTCCTACATAGTTTAGATTTAAGAACGTAAAAAATGACATTTAATTCAAATTCTTGCAATGTCAAGACCCAAAAGTAGTTTTATAAACATATTTGACCTTACAATGGCAATCACTACTTGACATTTAATAAAACAAGTACGTCTGAAATGACACAGAAGTGGTGGATCATACAAACGCAACACATTACAAGTCAAGGAGTTACCGACGTTTCGGATGTACTTGCTGCATCAAGTACATATAAAACGTTCGTAAACTTCTACTAGACTATACAGATCTACAACCCGGAAGACAGCCATCTTGACGCTCCTTATTTGTCGACAATAACAAAAAACAAATTTCAAGGTCATTTCAAATAACACTGTCTCGAAGTCATTATTACGACAGACATGTACTGTGGTCACTGGTAACTGATAATGAACTTCAAATATAGGCCGAAATATGTTTTATGGCCACTAACGGGATAGTGGGAGCACACAAAGTTACGGGTGACAAGGGGAAATCCCAAGACAAACGAATGTTGTATTTATGTAAATAAATCGCCAACTTCTGGTACATAGTTACTCCGGAATATAACATTTTATCAATAATAACTGATTTATCGAATTTTCGTTCTTTAACGGTGCTCTCTCAACAACACTGCTTACATGCAGTAGAATGGTAAAGTAATTTGTAAACGACTAATCGAAAAATCTGTGAGAAAAAGTGAAACTTACCTATTTTAATGTACTATTCGAGCAAGTATAGGAATGTCAATTGAATAAAATTTTTCTTGGATATTATCCATCGTCTAGTAAATATAAAACGTAAAACGACGTTTCGGAGATGGGACTCTATCTCCGTCTTCA